ACGCGTTGGAAGATCTGTAGTAATTATTTTGCAATAGCTGGCATGTGAATTATATCGATTCTCCATTATGATTAATCTGTTGAACCTATATGCAAATTGTGCAATCTCACAGAGTTAGTTTCAGTAGATGTAGATGACATATTGGGCATTTGGACTATCTGGAAGTTGGAGTATAAAGTGCTGGGGGTTCTCTGTCACTAATACTATGCAAAGGATACTTCAAGTAGGAGACAAGGGTGGCCCTGTCGTCCGAGGCGCCGCAATTTGCTGTGCAGAATTATCTATCTAGGTTTCTCAGCACCAAACCCATACTCACGGGTTTCACCAAACTTGTAGGCGTCTGAAACCTGCACCACTTCTGGCTTACCTCCCACATTACGCTGGCATGTCGTTATAAAACTGAAATACTTTCCAAAGCGACCTTCAACCCAACTCTCCCACTCAAGTACCAGGAGATGTTAACACACTTAGTATTGTGACATTCTCACTGTCACTACATTTCATTTAGTTCATTAACAAAGTGTAGATAATGAGGAACTCTGAACGTCATTTCTGCAACCCTTAATGTGTTACTGTCAGTTTCCTGATGTCATTGACGGAACACTGTTTAGACTGTTTAAATGTTGTTGTAAGGATTTGCTCCTTTCCCCTTCTTTCCTTTTTTGTTTTTCAGGTGAAACATCTGGTGTCGACAGTAATGTTTCTTGAAATCAAAGAGATAACAAATATGTTTACTCATGATATTGTTAAAGGAAAATATAATAAGGAGATAAACAATGATACCTGTAGCTACCCGCGCTAAATTGGATTTGGAACTGATTGCGAAGCTCTCTGTACATGTCCCCCACTAAGCTTTAAAATACGCTCTCGTAGACGATTTCGATCGTGTTTCCTACCCAAAACTTGTAATAACTGTAACTGTGCATTGTGAAACGAATAATTCAACATATCAAAATACAATGACCTAAAAAGACGTCGTCAAAACATGTTTCAATAACATAAATTGAAACAACATACCGATTGGTATCGCGCATTTCCAATTTCATGCAAGAATATAATAGTAGAACTATCAGACAAATCCCATGTGTAATTATATATCAATTACATAGGAGTACACTATTTGTAATCTTCCAATTTCCTGGCAATGCTGCTCAAGATTTTCCAAAGATATTTAATATAGATGTAATAAATAAATGATAATCATCCTTTTCATCGCCAAGATACGTGCCCCAAAAGCAAGACAGCTTATTACCCCGGTTTACGGATCAGTGTGCATTTACATTCTATTATCAGACCTCTAGGGACTATACACTCCAATATGCCTGTCAGATTCTAATAGGTTATCAAATACATTAACATTTCACGCTACCGAGTACCCTTCCCTGGCTGATGAACGGGCGCTTTTCGAAGGAACCAAGCAATTGTCAACCTGAAGTTATTATTGCCTTCCATTAGAACGCCATGCTGATGTTATCCGTAGACAGTGCATGCTTTATAACTTCCGTAATATAGGGTACACCTATACGCTATATTTACTCAACAAACTCACCCGTGAAGACCCGAGTCAAAATAGGTCTTCAGCAACCCATGCTTGCCGTAAAGGCGACTATGCTTGTAAGAGGCAACTAACGGAACCGGGTGGTCAGGCTCCCTGACTTGGTTGACGCCTTTCATCGTATCCCAATTGCGTGGATCAATGCTCATGATGTTAATCGCTGGATTGCCTGGTCCAGACTCGATTATTTACAGACCGTCGTCATAAAGCTGGAATACTGCTGAGTGTAGCGTTAAACAACAAACAAACTTCTCAACAGCCTTTCAAGATGCAATCCTTATGGATAGTTAGATGTAAATTACGCCTATCTTAACACATGACAACTAGTTTCTGGTGCGTTTCACTTATATAGTAAATATCTACCATCTGCGTCACTGTGGGCTTTCCTCCCCCATTAAACACACACCAAGTGATATAACCGAAATATTGTTCAAAGCCGCGATAAATTCAATCCATTCACTAAATCTGATATGCCGATGCTCTGATGATTTGTATGTATAAAATCTAAATGTATATATAATATGTGTGTATCACTCTGTTTAAGAGTGCATGTTTGTTATGAACCTATTGTCCTCATGAAAATAACCTATATGTCTCATGGTAATTGTTCATAAAAAAATAACCAGATCGTTGATCGATTGTATAATGAAAAGGGTCATTTACCGCCAGATATGCATTTTATTATCATCGCGGAAGGATTGTAAATTAAGATCTTTCCAAATACCTCGACAGATAGGTTAATATAGAAACCTACTTCTTTGATGTTTGGGAAAATAATATGTGACAGGACATCCAGAACAGCTTTGTATTATTAAGATATCTGGAGATAAATGCCATTAATATAACGACATGATGGAAATTAACAGACTCCCATCTAACGATCTCAGTCAATATTGCTGATTGCAAACGTTGATTAATGTCTTGCTTTCACAAAACCACCAGTTCGGTTTCATTAAGACGTATTTTACAAGATGTGAAATGAAATACATCTCAGGAGGGAATATTAAGTATTAGGTTTGAATGTTTCAGAAACCATATTATTCAATTCTTGCCATTCTTAAAAAAACTTTTCGAACTAGTTAAAATACGTTCCCTTCAAGGCGTATGATTTCAATAATGACGGGTTCCATGGGGAATTCATTACCTTCAGCAGACGCGAGCGTGTTCATAATGTTCCTTCACGTCGACTTGATAACGTATGTTATATCCTTAAGCACTTTTGCTCGTACCTCGAGCAAAATAATTTATATTTCGATTTCAGCAACGACCGAAAATGACTTCAATGTTTTTTTGTGCTCTATTTACAATTCAGTTGTCAATCTAATTTCTCTAATAGTGTGTTCTCTGCACATATCAAACCGAGGCACTTATTTCACAGCCTGATGTAACCCAGGGAACTGTTCTGTCTGCAGTTGCTCTAATGTATCAATCTCATCCCTGTTTTTATCGGATACGTCTTGAACAGCTGGTCAAAGTAAGGAAAGTTTGGGCATTAACTCTAAAATGACATATATTTTCTCCGACTGAGCTCTAAACCAAGATGTTTCTACAAGATCATGTAGCACGTACCAAATAACTTTAGGGTCTCTTGTTTCTCATCTGTCTTGTACACAAAGATGTAGAATTCTTTCAGCCTCTCATCAATATTCATGGCAGTTCACATTCACAGGTTTCAAGCTGTGCAGATTAGAATTCCATGCACAAAAGGACATTTGTTACAACAGATGGTGATATCGCAACCATAGAATCCAACATCTGAATCTCATTTTTTATGAAGTAATATCATATATAATTCATATTTATTACAAGATAAAATACTGTTTCCTGATGACCTTTTGACCATATCCAATGCTGAGTTGAATGAAAAAATCACCATAGCCGTTTACATGTCAATATTTCAACGCTAGAGAAAAACTTGTCTCGATTATCCACCATTTTCCATTGAATTGTTTGATAGGCATTACTTAGAAGTTGGCGGATGACAAAGTAGACACAATTTATGGATAACAACTTCTTAAATACTGTAAAGGCGACGTTTCGGTATAGATTCTTATGCCGTTGTCATGCAAGACTGCTTGACACCGGTTTTAGGATCAATACCGAAACGTCGCCTGCATTGACAAGCCATATCAATGCGGATCTCTATGTTGATTCTACGTCATATCTTTGCTAGGTAGGTGATAATGGTTTTTACTTGTGCTTTAGCCTCAAGATACACATTATGCTATTTAACATTGATGCAGATTGAAAGACGTCCTTTGAAGTCGTGTTGGTCGTCCAGATTATATCATTTACAGGCCGCCGCCATTGCTAAGTGCCGCGCAAATAAACAAACGAACAAACAACATCCTCTTGTTGTGTCGACAGTCAAAGGCTAAATGCAAGCTTAGAAATAATGAAAATAACAGTTTTGTGACTGTTATATTTTTCTGTAAATTGTGGAAGACGATCGAAATATGTCAATATGTTATCAGGTTTGATGGCTTTATTCTGGCAATTTCATTAATGCAAGTTCTAATTCACTAAAACATGCAAAACCTCCCCCTCTTATACTCGTCAATTTTGCCATGGATACCGTAGGACCAACTATCACACACACATTGAACACTTTTAAAAGGTTCTATCTTATATTACTTATAACTTTATTTTTCATTCGTAGAAAGCTAAGTACGGAGACAGAAGCTGCATAATCAGGAAATTACGTTGCAAATACCAGGCTTTACTACACAAAACAGTCAGAACGCTGAGACTATCGGAAGTCAATACACTTGAATAAGGCTACAACTACAAGAAAATGCTGGCCCGTTGCACCATCATGTCTCCTATCAATATTGGGCTTTCCCTGGTCTTGTCTTGAGTGAGCTGCGGTATCATTTGCATCGCCCAACACAAATACCAACAACAATACATTTTAGGCAGAAGTACATGGTGTAACAGATGGTCATTCATCTGAGGCAATACATGCACATGCGTAAATGAGTGTGCCTAGACATAACTTATCATTTCCCAATTGACGTTGATCATAATGGTTACATGGTAGTTTTGAGTTTTCCTGACAATTGTAGTTCACGTTTGAGTTAATGTGCTTAAATATTCCGAATGTTCATTCGTCCATATATAATTCATTAACCTTAATTGTATCTTAGGTTTTCAGAATCTATCAGATGTAGTTTGTGAATGCCTGTTCTAAAAAGAGACGTTTGGACTCGAACTCATCAGCCAGAATCTTAAAACCGACCAGTATCTTAAAACCGATAAATGCGATAATGCATGGACGGAGCGCAGAATCCGAGGCAAGCTCACAACAGTTAAACACATTTGCTGTCTTTGGCGACAACGGTATCAATAACAAACTTGACGTTGACGATCAGTTCTTTGTTACTCTCATAACCGAACAAGGCTTTGTATTTAAAGACAATTGCAATATATCTGCTTATTTTTGTAGGTACGTCGATGACAATCATTCTCCTTTTGGCAAGTCTCAACAGCTGCACTAATCCGTGGATATACCTGTGCTTCAGCGGAAGAATATGTGGAAAAGTAGAGCGTCGAATGTCTCGCTCATGGACACAAACCACGCAAGTTACCCACACAAATGACTCAGAAAGTAGATCCAGACATTCAAACTACGATATATCACCCCACACATCACGTGACATCAGTCCCTGGGCAAGGACATCCATGACTAGCTCGTGCTAGTGGATAACATCTACACGTGTTATCTAAACACGACGAAGCCTTGTTTATCCAGGATGCGTGGGGTAATGAAATATGTTTCGAGCTATCAGTTTTTCGGGGAAGGGGTGAACTGACATTTTGATATGACAAAGATATGCATACGACAGTAATTGTATTCATCTATTACTTGTCTCAACAACCCAATTCAGTCTACACAAGTTTACCAAGAGTGAGTATGGAAATTCTAAAATGAAATACGATATTGTTATGTTGGGGACTCTGAAAACATCAATATTAACACATAATTCTGATTTTGTGATATTCAGGTTTAAATAAGGCCAGGTAAAGAAACGTTGCCGGAACTGTGTCTCAGCGCCTTAGCAATATATCAACGTACTAAAGTACTAGAGAATGTTTCGCTCAATGACCAATGATAGGTATTTGGAAATATCCATGTTAACTGTTGGATGAGACTTGCACGTTTAAACTGAAAAGTAACTTTCTTCATTTATTAACTTGTTATGTAATTGATAACATACTCTACCAATGTGTTCTTGTGCAAGGACGATGATACTTTTTTATTTTGTTTCTTCTTATTTTTACGCGTTTTATGGATGAAGTAGGTCAATAGATCTGCAGTCTGTTAACACGGGGACTAAATTCAACCTGTACTTCAGTTTATATTTGGTGACTATAAATTATTATTTGTATTTTCTTTGTTGACAACTGCATAATGTATTTTCAACGATTTACATAAATATCGTATTATAAAGTATACGCGAACATAGGCCACGTTGGTCATTTTAACAAAATTATTATGTTTACCTCAGTGTCATAAATCTACTCATATCCATACGTGGGTCACAATGAATATGTTGTGTAAATATGGACACAGGTGATTAGTCTATAATGTTTTATGTGTTTTAAAATAACCCTTTTCCGTTGTAAATGGTCGATATGTATACTGACGACCCTAGTTACCCGCACAGTAACACTGTCGTTGCACTGATAATAGGGTTACATTGACATAAGGTGTTTTGTGTCTGCCTGTGATGTTATGTTCAGTCAGTGGAAATAGTTATATCAGTGATTGATTGTGGTAGGAATAAAAATGATCATGTTTAATCAATCGTCTGAAATAATTGCACAAACCAATATGTCTTATCGAAGAACGGATGCTGCTTCAATCAACACTTGAAGAAACACGAAGTGCTTAAGGTTTAGTAGTGTACAAAATCTACAATATTTACTCATGTTCAGATCTAATTTACAAACTTTAGTCAGATCATTGAATGACCAGCACCCCATGAATACAACTTGACAAAGCAGAAGAAAATCAGATAATAGCGTGTTGGTTGTTCTTTAATACATTAGAAAAAAATCAACTTCTTTCTCGGAAAGGAGTATGTTAAACACGTTTCTACCAGGGTTCTTAGTTTGTAATCCCCACCTACACGTCTGTAAGTATACTGCCTTCCTTACACAGCCAATTACGTCTTCTCCATGTACATCCGTTTGTAAAGCATGTCTACCAAAATACTTTTAATATACATTCTATGAATACAAATACAATTTCTAACCACACATAATTTCTTATTCAAAGTATTAATTTACTTCAATAAAGCAATTATAGTTGCTTAAGTTGTGAATCAACTCATTGCTCGATCACATCACGAATATTTGGGTATCAGCTTTAAATACTAGTACATAAACTACCTTTTTCACTTTACAGCCTTCACAGTACACAGCTAATGGTAAATAATCACCCACATGTGTATGGGGGGACCTTACGTAATTACTCCCAACATTCACCTGTACGCTCACATGTATTTTCATGTTTACTGCAACTGGCATACTGTGATCAAATGTTTAATGTCTACTCCTGGAAAAATGTCATCTATACAAATGTTTCAGGCATGTCAGTTCTCTCAACTTCAAGCATCTTCTCCTGTTAACCGATGTATTGTATTGAGTCTTACCCTTGGCCTTTATTTGTATATTTGTTGTTTGGTTGCCCGGTTAAAGCCACCATACGAATTTCATAGCCCCGGTCTTATATTTACATTTATAAACGCTAAAAAGGATTTTGCTCTACCTGACGAGGTGTCGATGGATATTGTCCTATATTAATGCTGCCGGTATTCAACAAGAAACTTTCCAAGGTACAGATTTCGAGAACATATATGAAATAAATGAGTTGATGATTTCAGTAATATTGTAAAATATTGTGAACTGTGAGATTACTGCCATGACAATGGTGTTTTGATGCTCAAAGTAAACTGTATTAGTGTTGAATTTATCTGTATATAACTGTCTGTTACTTCTCTGTGAACTCGTCTATGTTTTGTTTTAATCGTTGATGAATAAACGTTTATTAACCTAAATTAGCTTTGTTTATTTACATACATGTTTGGATTCCGAGTTAGATTTGGTCCTTGGCAACTCATGTCTATCGAAAGAGGTGGATCAGGTCGACAGGATCGGATTGTTGCTCAAAATATCACTTGATTGTCTGGTCCAGACTTGCTGCCGTCATATGGCTGGGATACTTGACAAAGACTCATAGACGCACGCACGCAAGCACGCAAGCAACCACACACACGGACACACTTACACACACCTCAGTGTTGATGAGCGGTAGTGCTGCATTTTGTGAATCTCAGCATGGTTTTAAGCTTTTCTTTAGTCGATAGAATAAAGAAAGTGTCGGAATATATATACGAAATGCAATCGACATGCTTTCAGAATAAGAGCTTTTAATTCGAGAAAAACACGATACATCAATAAAATTATTAATAATAGTGTGTTTTTCATTGACAGGAAAAAGAAAAGACACGCATAAGCGAATTTGCAATGGCTCTAATCACATTGTCATGATAAGGGATGAATGGAGAAAACACAACACTTTGTAAAAAAGTTCATGTACTGAGTGATAAATCAACCAACCGATTACTCATACGCTTGGAGGGATTTGATTAATGTGCGTAGCGGAAAAAGAGAAGCAGGATTTAAAGCATTGAGGGTCTTAACCAAAATAATCAATTTAGAAATATTTTTGCCGATGCTTTTTCCCCCGACTGTTTAGTAAAGAGACCCAGAGATTACAGGGAAGTAGTGAATTCCAACTCGGTCAGGGCTGTACTGAGAATGGATGGTGATATCATATTAATTTTTTTATGTTTTGCGACAAACATGTTGACTGTTGTACGTGTTCGTTTAGTTACATTAGCCGTAGAAATACGAAGTAGATAAGAGGAAGATAACCACATGGCGTCTTCTTATTCCTTAGGTACATCCTGCCATTCACTCAACCCCTGGCATAACCCCTTGACATATGACCAAGAGGAAGATGTGAAGATGTAATTTATAGGTCAAAGTACAATAAAGGCAGTTTTTGTCCACTAGATTAACATGATAGAAGAAAAACATTTGAATTCTGAAATACTTGAATTGAATGTGGTGGACTTCAAATATCAATGCATAAAAACCCGCGGATTTAAAAAAGCGTTAAGAAAGCGTTTTGGAACCAAGCTGAACTCTTTGATGTTGGAAAGTATAAACAAACTGTAAAACACTTATCTTGGGTGACGGTCCAGCTCATATTGTACGCTTTCGTTTATGTTGACCATACTTCTGTACTTATTCATGTCATAAGTCGAAAACATGTCAGGAATACAAAGAAAAAATGCTAGTTGTCAGTTAAGCGAGGATAACCGATAACTAGCAGTAACAATGTTGAATTCATTTTAAAAGTTTGCCATATTTAATGGGCAAACATGACCTCATCACACCTAGTTAGTTTCATTAGCCTTTTAAAATAACGCACCAACATCCCATGATTGAATGTTGCCATATTATGCCATCAAATCAGATTCATAGCAGTCCAACGTGTGACCAGCGTCATATAGAATATTTGGTAATTCTGATTTACGTTGTGTTCTCAGAAAGGTCGAAGCAATTTATTGCATTATACAAGCACATTGCACTTTGGGGATGAAAAATAGACATCGATCTGATCTTCGCATCCTGGTTTCAGCGACACCAGACTTCTCGTCTCCTTAAGAAAGAGAAAAGAAACATTTAAACAGATTTTCATAAGACTTTTCACCCACGTAAATATGTCAGTACGTACGCTGGCTGATTGAAAATATGGTATATGTATATTTGGTGTGCACAAATGTTGACATAACATAAGTCCAGTTGTAGAATGTGAAACGAAATAAACTATTATGAACTATACTTAATAGTCTATCATTTAATATACTATATGATATAACACTGTCATTAAATTCTTTCGCCTTCAATCACAAGTCTCTGCATACATGTATATATATTACATCACCGTAAAGTGTGAAAAAGCTGTCAAATTAACACCTCTTTCTAATATTCTATTTTACGACGACGAAGGCGTCAGTGCGTTTGCGGGTGATAGTTTTGACATTAAGCATGACATAGATAGGTCCATTAGTTTGTAGTAGAAACCAGTGCTAGGACACCAGGTTCCTGAGAATCACTTTTCATCGTTAATGACCCAGAATGAAACGAACACAGTGGAACAAATGCCCATCAAACAAACGTCCTATTATTATATACACGTAGTGTGAACATTTTGAAACTATAACACAGAACTGCTATCAGTTGTCTCAAGGGTGGTATCAATTATTGCAGGATTCTTGTCAGATCGCATGTTTATGATTAACTGCATAAGCAATGTATGATTAGTATGAAGATGGATTCAAGCATGATCATAACACAATTACGTCCCTCCTGTGACTGTTTGAGGATTACTTTACACATGGAATTGCTGTCACCTTTAAACAGTGTGACCAGGTATTTACACTTTGTATTTCTGTTAAGTTATCGCCTCAGTCAGAATGTCATACAACTATCGATATCTCGATTCAGTCAAATTTGCTATGCAAACAAAAACTAGAATAATGACGGATGATTTGATACAGGGTATCAAACTGAAAGTGAAACATTTTCCGTACATGCAAATACAACGATGAATGTGTAGTTCTAAGTTGACCTGATGGACATGGATGAAAGCGCCTCATCCAATCATATTGACTGGACTATAAACCCATTAACATTTGCACGCTCGGTATAGCACAGTCGCTCAATGTTGTCTTGTTTGTCTGTTGTTGAAAGTCACACTCCAGCTGTATGACGACGGCCTGGAAATAATCGTGTCTGAACCCGATAAACCATTGATTGATCTTCTGAGCAAAGATCGACGCCGCCGATGTACGATGACACGAACAAAATTCACGGAGCCTGACCACCCGACCCCAAAAAGCATCCGCTCACGACAAGCAGGTTACTGGGGACCAACGCTAACCCGGACTCCCCACGTCATGGTAGCAGGATAAGATAAGGATGAATGTTAAGAGGGTAAATAAAACCGGGTGGGTCCTCCAGAAGGTCGTTCATACGTAGGAAAAATGCTTCAAACACAATGATCTCACATCGACATGAAGCTGAGTAACTGATAACTTTCAAGGATCGAAGTGGTTGTCACTCGACGACGTCGTGACACATCAAAGTCGTCACTGACTAAATTCAAGGATGTCAGTGGGTCAGTCAGTGCGTGATGTTGTTATTGGTAGAATGCACAAACTGAAAAAAAGGAAACAGAATTTGTACCCGTTCTGTCCCAGCCAGCTGTCATCCAACGTCTAGCTGACCTACATTAAAATTGGATTGTTCCCACTGACATGGCCTCAAATAACATAGACATTATATGTAAACATCGCCACCTTAATTGTTTGACCTTGATCTAAGTGGCATCTCAAATAATGTTTTGTTTGTTTAATGCCGCACTCAGCAATATTCCAACTATATGACGGTGGTCTGTGAGTAATCGAGTCTGAACCAGAAAATCCAGTGATTGATATCATCAGCATCGATCCACGCAAGTCAGCAACCCTGACCACCCGATCCCGTTAGTCGCCTCTCACGACAAGCATAGTCGCCTTTTATGGCAAGCTGAAGACCTACTTTAACGTGGATCTTCACTAGTGAGATATGAATATGGTATGGGTTTTTCGGTGTTGTTTATATAGCATTACCATTTCAATACTTATGCATATGCAATGTTTTTGTCGCTTTTCTCTATATAGCATTGCCATTTCAATACTTACGGAACAGACTTTCAGATAGTTTTCAGCCTGGTGAGTAAAATATATGAAGAAATTTCGTTTACTAAACATGAACAAAATGTGCATATTTCAGAACGATAGTTTTGTATGTTTGACACAAATGCGTTATATAATTGTGTACCTCAAAACAAATACTACACTGTAGGTATATCAGAACAACATAGGCCTTGCTAAACCGGAACTATTTTATTGGGCATGCTAGATATGCGTCACATGAATATACACTGTAGCAAAAGGGTCCCAACATCATGAACGAACGTCTTGGTTAGACCTGTGAAGATCCGGGGTAGAATAGGTCTTCAGCAACCCGTGCTTGTCGTAGAAAGCGACTATGCTTTTCGTGAGAGGAGACTAACGATTGATGCATGTCATCGTATCCCAATTGAGTGGATCGATGCTCGGGATGTCAGTCACTGGGTTTTCTGTTCCAGACTCGATTTCTGACAGACCGCCGTCACAAAGCTGGAATATTGCTGAGTGTTGCGTTAAACAACAACAAAAGCAAAAAACCGTCTTGGTTAACCGCGCGCCTGCGTGCATGCGTGTGTGTGTGTGTGTGTGTGTGTGTATAAAACCAAAACCCCAGCAAAGTATTATTGTAAATGTACAATATTTTGCTGGAGTTAATCTGATTTAACAAACAAATGAAGGGAATGTCTCTGCTGAGTATATTAGATGCCATTCACATGCTCATAAAGCAAAATAGTAATTAAATGGGCTGCATGGTCTTAGACTGGGTGTCTCAAACTGTCGATATCATGCAATTAAAATAGAGATACTATGTGCAGAACCAATGAACGTGTTTATATGATTGACTTCATTTCGACCTGCCACATTTCGTTCACGTTGTTTAGGAATGCCTTTGAGTGCTCCATATAAGTAATACCACGAAAGCATTCTGCTCTGTGATGGCAAGAACGCAGCTCAAAATGACGACAATATTTTATTGAAATTTCTGTTACTTATTTGGCTCTCGCGAATTGTTTAACACAATAACACTGTCTAAATGTAAATTCCACTTGAAAGTTGACATTTGAAAACAATCACAAATACAATCATTAGATAATTATTTGTGTCTTTGGCTCAACTACGAATGTTTTTCGGGGAGAGGTAATACATGCTGAAACTGTGTTCAGTGTTTACATACATGTCTGTCATCCATGGTGTTTCGAAACATGAAATATCAAGGTAATTACAAGATAATTACGTTTATTATATACACT